CGTTGTCGGTCACCCGCGACGAGGCAACCCCTCTATTCGTGCGCTTTTGTCGCGTCGAAGCATGGTAGATTCGCGATTCCGTAGTGTACTATATCGATTAATTGTTCAGCGTTGCGGATTCGCCTTCATTTTCTTATCGTCAGAAGCGTATCGCGAATACCTCACTTGTTTTGCATCTCGCAAATTTTTTATTCTTAAAAGCAAACTGTAAGTCGAATATTTAATCGCTCTCTCATAGACATCGATAACCTCAAAAAGAAAAGAATCTTAAAAAATATGAAAATCATCGCCTATTTTTGTAACTAAATGCATTCAAGACTTGAGAAAATTAATATTAAATGAGAACATGTGTTTTAAAAGAACAGCTTGTATTCTGCTTAATGCTGTCAAAAGTCTAAAAACTATAAATATCTAAACACACAAATTTTCATAGCCTAATCTGTCATTTTTTAACGCGTTGAATACTTATCGCGCCGATCGGGACAAGTCGCATCGTTTGATCATGCATTGCATTACGCTCGACAGACTTTATGATGATTTTCGACATCGTCTACTATCAATTTCATCGTCCCTCGTTTCTTCCACTCGTCGACGGTGGCAACTCGATGTGCTACGTGCGCACATATGTAGAACGTCGAAGCTACAGGTGTCAGCGAGAGTAGTATTTTTCAGCGAGGCCCGGTGAGGGTGTAGGTGATAGAGCAAGAGAGAAAAGGGTAAAGAGCGCGCTGAGGAGCGAGCAAGAGAGAAATGGAGAGAATGAGAGAGCCATCAAGGAGGAAGGGAAGTGAGAGGGACGTTTCACCGCGGCTGGGAAACGGCGGAGTGCCGGCACGCACGTTGAATCTGCTAAACGCTCCCGCTCGTGCGTGAAATGCCTCGATATCACTGTTTTATTTCGGCCCGTTCGTTCGCCGCCGTTCTCTCCCGCTTCTGCAATTCCGTCCTTTTTACCCCCCCGACCAACCGAGCCGACCAACGCAACCCTTTCTCTCGCCGCGCTCTCGTGCCCGCTCGTGCAGATTTGATGACCCTCTCGCCACGATTTGACGATGATTCAATTGTCCACGGCCAACTGAAATGAAGCACCTACAAGCCGAGCTTTTTTCCCGCACCGGTCTTTTATTGTTTCCTATATTACCATTGTAGTTTCCAACGTTCCAAACCACCGATCTGTTAGTTTAATTCTGATGAAATGTAATGAATACGAACAAACGTCTATCTGATTAAAATATCGTAAAATTGTTCCAATTTTCATTAAGCCTTCATTTAATTTAAATATGTAACACACGATGGCTATGATTGTACTTCTAAAATTGTCTCCTTAAAAGAGTTTATCAACTTTGTCAAGATATAAAATAAATAATTTTCTGTGTAAAATTAATAAATTGATACATACGGAAGTTTTTAAGAAATTTGTCGCTGGACAAATCTCTAGAACAAATATCGTAGCAATATCGGACACAATACTCGATAAGTCGATAAATCGCAGAGTAGCCCGTTCGGCCAATTTAATTAATAATTATCGACTCAGAGAGGAGACCCTGCACAATGGCGATACTTCCTTCTGGCGTAATCCTCCGAAGATTAACGAGCCCATACCAGAAGGGACCGTTCTCCGTCGCCTCCCGCTCGACCTTCCTCGCTCTTCCTACACTATATCGTCCTCTCTTATAGCCGCAAGACGCCATGGCGCGCCTTGCGGTGGTTGCGGCAAGAACCCTCGCCGTACCCGCATTAACGCAATTATGAATTTGTCGCGTTGGGATCTGACAATACAAGATGTCGCAGCCATTCTCCTGCCGCACCTTCCCACCCGGCTGGGGCGGAGAAGCGCCCGAGACCCTTAGCCCAGCTTTCCTCGTTTACACTAAAACCGATTTTGCGGACTATATGGATCGGGACGACGTGACATAAATGCAATTTGCCAGGCCACGTAGAGTGCGATAATATGGAGAACGCCGGTATTCATTAATAGATCACGGATTGATTACAAATTATTCCGAAGGCAAGTAATTAAAAGCAAGCTATAATATTTACATAAATTATAGAAAAGCAACTTTAGAGTGCCATTATATTCGCGAAAATTAATTAGAGCAATTTTACCATCGTTTGCAACGTAGAACAGCAAATTTCGTGTGACGTTCATGTTGCAAAACAACATTAGCAGCTTGAAATTCTGTGGATCTTCTTCGCGACTTATTGCGCAACTAATGCTAAACGCCCAAGAAATATTCACCCGTGCGCTTTGCGTTATTTCACCCTCGTGAATCAATATCCAATGTATTTCGTGCGCCCGCCTTGTTAGCCCGTTCGTTTTGCGGCGCGGAAAGCGAGTGTAGTTTCGGCGGTCCTAAGTTAGTTTCGAACGGTCCTGTAGCAATAGCAGTAGCAAGCTCTCCCTCTCTCTTTCTCTCTCTCTCACTCTCTCTTTGGTATCGTACGGTAGCATGCGACGGGTAGGACGAGAGGATCGTTGCGGCTCGCCGCAGGCGACTGCTGCGACCTGCTCTCCTCAGCGACAAATTTCTCCTCCCGACTCGACCGCTTTACCCCGCTTCTCCCCGCTCTTGCGCGCTTCCTCGCCACGTTCGCTGTCGGAGAGCCGCGTCTCTCGACTTCTCCGGTTATCATCGTAAACTTACATAACGCGCAGGAAAATCAATCGACAAGGTCCGGCAAGACGGACCTTTCTCGGAGTCCGGATTGGAGAAAAGGCCGCGAGAGCCGGCTGGAGATTCTAAACATCAAGGAGCTAGGGACTGCCTGGTCAGCCCTTAATATCGTGAGAGGATACCGGATCCGCGCAAACAACCTCCCGTAACCTCCCGTTAACCATCGGCCAGCAGTGCTGGCTCGACCGCTGCTGGCCCTATTATCGCTAACTAATAAAGGACCTAATTGAAACGCCGGGCTTTTGTTTCCACCACTCGAACGCCGCTCGCTTTTCCGAAAGCGCTTGACCCAGCCGTTTGACTGGCTCAAACGCAGATCGGAATTTACTTGCGAAGTGGATTTACGAAGATCGATCGGTGGTGCTTCGACCGTAAGATAAGAGACCTACGATTTCGTCTTTGCGCGCACGGAATATACTCCAACTTTACTGTTTGTTTAAAACCAAAAGACAAAATAATTGTTCATAAAATTGCGATTAAAGAATTGCTTAATCAAAATTGTGATTAAAATTATAAAATTTTTACTAAATCCAAACTTCCTCATAATGCAACGAGAAAACGACAGTAAGTCAACTATAATTTATAAACGAAAGTGATCGAAATCATGTATAATGGTGGCGTTTATACAGAGCGTCTCAGACTAACTGTATCATTCGTTAATAACAAATTTGTGAGGTTTCTTATGTGATAAAAATGTGAAAATTAATACGCGACCTACCTAAGCGCGTGAATTGTTGACAATCTAAACTTTTAACACTTTCAATTTAAAAACTATTGTAGCCTAGTCTAAGACATTCTGTAT